TCATTTATTGACAAGCTCAGAGGTCAACAACATTATTGTTTATATTTCTCAACGAAGTTATGTAAAATAACTTAAACATGAATTCTATATTATTATGATTATTCATAGCATAATATTACAATATGGAAACGATTCTGAGTTTTAATTGTGTGCTGCAATAAACATTATCATGCCGCCATTTTTGCTAAAACGCGGGAGGAGGTCATTGAACTGACCGCGGCCACTTAGCCCCCTGCAAAGGAATGCTAATTTTACGTAAATATTTTTATTAGGTCATCCACATGTAGATTATATTCAGAATAATTTTACGTGTGGACGAGAGCATAGCTTTTGTTTTAATTTTATCTAAACAAATAATCCTTCTTTGATGTGTTTTTTATTTCATGAGCAAGTAACATCATTTCAAGTAAATTATTAATTATTAGATGTAATTTTGTATTGTCCTTGGCAGTAGCATATTTCTATGAAGACCATGACATGATACGGTGACGTTATTTTAGTAAAGACTTATCAGTATTTTTTCATTGGAATCCTTCCTGCTTGGATAGATAATGGTGGTAGTCAGTCAGTTATCCGCTGACGTCACAGGCAAGTCATCGGATCACTTTACAACGTTATCACAGTGGTTAAAGTACGAGCTTTTTGTTTGTTAAGTAGTTACTTGGATGTGGAATCTTTCCTATAGTCCTGCTTATCACCCAGTAGCAAAGAACGGAGACATACTGATACCTACCTATTTTACTTCTTATGATTATCCAATTTTTTTTTAAGGTTTTCAAAACAAACGAATCGTTTTTATCATTCGGAGCGTTTTCGGTATAATAACTCCACTATTAAACCTAAAACGTGGGAATAAAATATCTACTTTTCATGAGAAAGATGACTAACAGAGGACTGGTCACGAAAAATCATTTAGCGGAAACCAGGGTCATTGTTTTTAGGCACATTGTTTAGCATATCAACATCCATCAAACTCCTGTCACACACTACCATATAATGCGTTTACTATTGAATGTAAAGCATAATGAACTTTGAAACAATTCGAGGCAGTTGATCACGGCAGATGTGCGATGAAAATTACCTGGCAGCGAGCAGTGATGCGGAAACTCAGCGCAGATCTCCATAAATACCATCATTATAACGGGCCCCGTCTAGACAAGAGAAAAACTGTATCAGGAACCATTTTTTTATCGATCTATAATCAATTTGGCGCTAATTGCCGAGCTTTACGGACATTCTGTTGGTTTCCCGCATTTCGTGTTCGGTTCGGTTTAAGGTGTAGATTGAGTTCTTGTCTATTTGACTGTCTGTGCAATGTTCTATTTTGTTTTAAAACAGGAACATCAATTTCCTGCCAAGTTGTATGTGAGTGATCTGAGGAAGAGGAGTGTCCTGTATTGTTTAACTTACAGCTTGTACCGTAAAGCAATAACTAATATCATTGTGTCACAAAGCGTAGGTGACTGAAAAGTTAACAAAAACCAATTTTCGACAAAACCGTAGCCCATTATCGTGTTAGCTTTTGTTTTAAAGTCGCAATGACTAACGCGGTCACAGACTGGCTGCTCATTAAGTCTTGTTTTGTGTGACACGACGTTTTAGATGCCATGTGAGGCACGTACGCCTTAGGTTATACAGGCTATACAAGTCCTATAAGCACTAAGTCGGCGGTGAATCATCGCGATGTGCGGATAGTGTTACAGTATCACTGGACTGCGGTCGTCTTTACTTGCTTCAAGCTTACTGCAAGTATCAAGGCGATAATAATATTAATGGCATACGTCTTTCAGTTGTAAAATTGACTATTATGTCATGTAATCACACGAGTCATTCAGCAGTAATTGAGAATGTGTTTAAATTATGCAAACTAAACAAGATATCATTGAAGAACATCCCATATGTATAAGAATAGATCCCCAATTTTGATGTTAATAATAGTTTTCAATGAAAGAGTCAATCCTGCGGTAATTTAGTTTGCTTTGTACACTAATGGGTATTACAGTGGGGAATGGGCAAGTCTAAACAAATAGATTGATTGTCCTACGAACATGACATCAACTGGGTTCCTCCACAATAGACAGGCGTGTCTAAACAGATACCCGCGTATACAACAATGTCCAAGTACTGACTAGTTACTGGGGACATTGTAGAACACATTGTGCGCAGTTTGAGCAGAGCCACTGATAGCAGCTTCCTATTATTCTAGATAATTGTCTATCAATTGTGAAGTACTGAAATTTAAATTCAATAATGTTTATATGTATATTTACATAATGTACACTAATGAGTTTCAAATTAACACGGGCCTTGTGTATTTTACTAACTACTTAAATGGCAACAATTAGTGTGTCTATGACGTTTAAAAACTTTTTAACCTTTTCTCATGTGATAGTGCGGCAAACGAGCGTATTATCTGATGGTAAGCAATGAGCATGGACACCCACCCGACATTGCCGACCTTTTGTGAATTAGGAATTTGGAAATGTTGGTATTGAGTATGAATTGGAGGAGGGGAAGGATTGGCCTCACTCAAAAACAAAACAACCTTGACTTGACATGGACTATCTGATTCGGAAGAATAGCACGTTAAACCCTACACAAAGTCATCATCATTCGATTACATATTCATAGTGTAGGAACATAGCATCCATGTTAAGTTACAAAATAAATAATAGTAGTAAATACCATTGCGGCAAAAACGTGCCAAAGTGCGCGTCAATATCTGTCATCTGCATCAAGATAGCATCCGCTTTCTCGGGAAGCTCTCTGTGTACAGTTTACTTTCTAATACAAACAAACAGAATACTGTTTATATACATACACTCAAGATAATGTTTAGACAAACAGAACGCGGGTAATGTATTATATGAGTTTATGATATCAACTCCATAGTCTATACTCGAAACTAAACACAAACTCAAAATGTCGAACTCAATTTTCTGATATTGTAAATGTTTATTTGTTACAAACTTATACATATACTGATAGTAGATAGATAAGGAATGTAATAGATATTTGCGAAAATAATCTAAAATTGGAGATGTAGGTACAAATGGTTGGGTAAAATAATTAGCAATTTCCATGTAAATAGTGACAGCGATTGCTTTATTTACGTTAATGTATATTCATAAAAACAAATAAGTACGGGAAATCTGTCGTAAACATTTACCACAGAAGGCTTACTGCCATAATTAGTTCTGTCCATGATCGCCCCGAGCACACCTTCATACAACCACTCGTTGGATGATACTAAAACGTCTTAGCAATCAGGTTCCATCGAAGCAAAACCATGTAAATGAATATAACCGTATCGTAAATATTTTTTAATTAACTGAATTAAGAAATGAAATCTAGATACAAGAATACTGTGTAGAATTTTGAATTATCGCAAGATTTACTTCCAATACATAGACTAAGATATTTTGGAATGCAACAATTGATAAATATACAATGATTCATATTGTTTTGAAATGCTAGCTATCTTCTCTTTTATCTGAGCTGTAGTTTAGGTCACTATTGTGGTATGTGTCCAAACATTGACCTTGACCGAATTAGCCACGGCATGGTTCCTGCTTCCTACGCTACGGCCACAATAAATAATGAAGCTACAAATATCAATGCACAATCACTACAATCGTATCCTCATTGACGTGTGGCGCGGGCGCACCTCTGCGTGTGCGCAAGTAACTCTATACGGACGAGGCGCGGTGCCTTTGACCTAGTCAGACCTTGGGCACCTTGGGCTTCCACCGTGACGGCTGCATCCTGCCGCTGCAGCCGCGTGTACCCCAACCTGAAACATATTTTTGTTTTATTATTGAAAGGTTTTAAGTTTAATTATGATTGTGACCATCCTCATAATTTATGCATTCATTTACATGAAAGCTAACGACTGTATTGAATGTGTATTCAACTGGTTTGTGCACAATGGCGGCGTGGTCTAACGAACAGAAGCCCGATGTTTATTGCCTTATAACCTCATATTGCAGCAGTTAGTTCAGGTTTCGTTTATATGAATTTATTCTCTTATTCAGGCGTTGTGTTCTCATCTTTTTCATACGTGATCATGCATTTCCAATTTCACTTCAATGAAGCAGTCGGAACTCTCCTAAAGTAAAGTTATCGTGGGTTGTTAATATCAGTGTCTAAGTCGGGATGAAATATAATAGCAAGATTTGTAAATACGGAAGCTGGTCAGATTATACCGGACGCGAATAATCTCGACACACGCTCGGTAAAATACTCGTAAAATGGGACAACAGCTCGTCTAGACTAGAGTGATGACCTAACCGATAAGCCTGAAGTATTAGATAGATGAGGGAGATTAAGTGGTAATAGGACAGCCACAGGACAGCTTGGCAGACGGTGGACGGCTAGGCGGTAATGCTAACGACTTGTTTGACACGCCAACTTGTATAACAACTTAAATCTTCAGCCAATCTAGTTAAATGTTCTTGGATAGCAGAAATCGTAAAAGCAAATCATGTAAATAAGAAGTAGCAACTAATGGCAATCCAACTTATCTTAAACAATTTAGCAATTACATAGCTTAATTAATAGTAATTCAACTTGAATCGCTTCAACAATATTTAGGTAATGACAGCAGTGAGGAATAATCGCACATGACAAAAGTCCTTGAAGATTTACAAATTTTTAAAAATGTCTATAATTCAGAGCTCATAATTTTTCGTTGAACCATAGTTTAGTAGCAGAATAAGTACAATGGTTACGGATTACTTCCCCGGCTACGTTGAGGCGGTTATTGTCTCTGTAACAAATGAGCTGTCAGACTGTGATGAACGTCTCTTGCTTTATTTGCGTCCTGCCAAATGAATTGTTTCCTCACAGATTTCGCGGTCGTCATCTTTCATATCAACCGCCACTAAAGTACTCTCAGACTTGTTTTTATTATGATACTGAAATAATACATTTGTTATTGTTCTCATATTTGGACTAAAATATTGTAAAGCAATAATTCATGAATGTTTCTTCTTCAACAGATTAAAATATGAACGGGCATAGCAACGGCGACATGAACGGTGCAGGAGACATTATCACGCAGAACCAGCAGCGCGGCTGGTGGACCATCGGGTTGATCAACTCGCGCTACCGGTACCTCACCGCTGAGACCTTCGGCTTTAAGATCAACGCTAACGGCACCAGTCTCAAGAAGAAGCAGATATGGACCTTGGAACCTGCCTCGGGAAATGCTAACGACAGTAAGTGACCTTTAACACTTTAGAATCAGCCATAAAAGATTAGTTGTAATAAAATTTTTGGCTCTTCGTAATTGAAACTGAAATGCCTATAGAAGAAAGAAATAAGATATTAGTAATGAAGATGACGCGCCAGATTACTCTACACTCGCCGGGGCAGATAACTCCTATTGGCTATTATGTCTCAGTGGCACAGATAATCTAATCCGATATTCCAGGAATTTAGTTATCATGCTTCCAATACGAAACAGATCGTCCACGGATACTTCAGGGCAATAAATAACCGACCATTGATGGCCAATGTAAAGGATCCCAGCAATTTGTAATCTTGCTCGGTAAATCGTGATTCGCTACGTGTTTCGGTTAACGAGTCGTATCCCAAGGAACGTTGCTCGGTCCCATTTTACGCCGCGTTAAATGTAGCACTACATTGGTACATCAAATCGATTTCTGTCCAATTTTTGTTTATTTTTCCTTGTGTTGCTACGTAATTACTTAGTCATCAGTTTTATATTGGGTCGTTATATTCATTAGGATTTTTTCCCGATGCAGCTTCTAAATTATTGAGTTTATTAACCCAGCTCTTATATAAAGTAATCCATCTAATTAAAATTGACTTGTTATTCCTTTGACTTTGATTTTTATTATAAAATGTAGATAGAGCTTTATGACTTAATTAAAGTCGGAAAATTGCAATAGCTAAATCAAAATTATCCTATCCATTGCTGTCTATCAGCGTTTCACTCACGTTACAATAAATTAACGACCTTCCTTTGTTAATGTACTCCTTATTCACTGGTATCAGGACGTTGAACCCAACCAGGCACGAAGTCATTAGTAATCCTGTAGCAATCTATCTGTGTCTATAAATCTCGTCTGTGACTCAACTCAAATGCTATTCTTTTTTAAAGAGCCCACTTCCTGTCCCAAGCCTTAGGCGCTAACCTATTACGAGTTAGGAAATCACACTACAAATTTAATTCTTTCGTCCTAAAAAGGTTTAATATACAGATATAGAATTAATGTAAGCGGCGACATATTTATCCCCAGTAGGTATATCTGCAATGAACGTAATTGATACTATTGACCTTTAAAAGGAATGATCAGAATTTAATATTAGTCTTCCATGTAACCAGTCCATCAAAATGTTAAGTGGTGACATTAATGCTGTGTATACATTTCGCTATGTAGGTAATTCGTAGGTATGTCCCTCCAGCGACAATTTTGTCGCGCTCCCCTTGTGCCACTAATTGTCGCAAAAAGTCCCCTGCACACAAGCCCTTAATTACTCCGGTGTGCAGAGGGCATGTCGCGAGATACTCTCGTGAAAATAGGGATAAACAATTGTTTAGTTTTATGATGAATTTTGCAAAAACATATTTTAAATGAGGCTAAAACGGATGAGATCACTAATAATGCATGGCAGCAGTAGGTAAACTTTATACGCGGAAGTGTTGCTTTATTATTCTGTACATAGACTTACCTTCTACTCCTCTTATCAAAAAATAATTTAGGAACATTTCATCTCAATTTTTCCTTGTCACTTAAACCACGTTCAATACAAAAATTGCTGTCAAACCAAATCATCTCAGTAGTTCACCCAAAACATATTTGAGTACTCGAAGTTAATCGTAATGTCGTTCGTTCACTCGACACAAAGCATTCATGTTCAGTTCATACGGTTGTAGACTTGTATGGCATTACTGCCGCCCCACTCATTGTCAAATTGCGATCCAATCAGAGGGTGGCTCCCCTACTGGCAACTTTCAAGGTTTACCAGCTGGCACACACCTGATCGATGTCACATCCCTCGCGAGTTATTTGCTTTCGATAACATTATTTACTTTACATTTCATTTACTTACTTATTTAAGTCGATATTTGATTCCCGTTTTGGTTCATTATTCTGTGTTAAAAATCCGTCTGTTTTATGGTAAACTAAAAGCAAGAGTGTAATGCTTTTATCAGACATAAATCTTTCTCTTCAATCACTATTCCAAAAATCGCACCAAAATCCGTTGCGTAGGTTGAAAGATCTAAGTAAACATAGGGATATAGGAAACAAGAAAGTGGCTTCGTTTTAAACTATATAGGTAGTGATAATATACTCGCCCTTATAACACGACACACCATTCTAAAGAAAAATAATTATGATATTATTATGTTACTATTATTATTCCTTATACGATTAAATATCTAATATCCTTAATGACTACTATCCACCATACAACACTAAACCGGTAGCTGTGTAAGCAATAAACGTTAATATAATTAAAGCGACTCGGCTTAATAACATACTATTACACGGAAATGATAGCATTCTCATTGAAGCGACTAATCATTGTGTATAGAGGCATGTATGACGGAGTAAAGATAGCCTAATCATACGACTACAGCATCTGCTGCAGTCTCTAGTCTCGGCCTTAAACTCAGGCCTCTAATTTTCGTAAATGATGTGTGTTTGTTCATATTGATAATAATTAGTGTATGAGTTGCCTCCGTAATCTTCGTCATTATACAGTCAACTGAGAGTAGCTCTCTTGTTGAGAATTGCCGCCGTAATTGCAATCGATCAGGAAAATATTATTGTAGATTGATGGTTTGAATGGGACCGCTTGACTACGGTACTGTGAGCAGACGGCACGTGTTCCAAGTGTCAGTAGCGCATGGCGATGGCAGCGCGATCAATCTCTGCTATCTCACGTACTCCGATTAAAGCTTTTTACTTAAACACTTAAGTGGCCGAACCAACTACGCCAGTATTGAGGTTAGCTAGTGTTTTGCGGTCTCTCTCGGTTCATTAGAGGTAAAGGCTCATTGCTGTCTTTATGCAGTTGCAGTCTGTATTTTATTGCGACTCTAGCGAAAATATCCTCCTTTCTCTCATAAACGTTTTTGCAAATATAAGAATGATACATTCTAGTCCATTTTTTGCGCTTTATTTTGTCGTGAGTCTGGGCTTTAGAAATGTGATAAAGTTTATCTTTTTCCTTATCGTCAATGTGAATGAAACCCTTGTATCAACTAAACTGTTGATGTTGACTGACCATGTGTTGTGTTGTCCAGGCATGATCTACCTGAGGTCGCACTTGGACAAGTACCTGGCGGTAGACTCGTTCGGCAACGTCACCTGCGAGTCTGAGGAGAAGGAGCCGGGCAGCAAGTTCCACATCAGGTAATTCAATAAACATAATCCAATTTATAAACTTACTTCAGATTCTTAATTTCCATAAAAGGACACTAAATTCAGAATCTCCGAAATTGTCTCCTTGGTAATGTGTCGACATACACGCAGAATCAATCGACAAATCGAAATTATACATTTAAAAAAAATGTGTAGGTAACTACTGTGTAAGAACAGTTTAATTTCCACCACATTAAGGATATGACAAAATTGTGAGCACAATCTTTTATGGTTGACGAACAGGCAAAACATCAAAGGCGGTGTTTCTCATTTAACTCGAAACTCGTATGTCTTTACTTACTCGTATCTGATAAATAAACAAGCTGTACATTTCAGTTAACGTTATTAAAATTCATTAGATCGTGTCCGTTTGCGCTAATGATAACGAGGCCCGACAATTCTCGGAAACGTGGCTAAAGAAGTAAATCCTGAATATAGAGCTTTTAAAAACTTCTTCATCATCATCGAAACGGAATTTTCGTCAGTTCAACTACTGCTTGTTACCCACACTAGCAGATATTGTAAGTTAACTAGAGGGTAGTAGAAACTAGTGGACTAGTAAAAACCTCTGGACCATCACCAAAAGTTATGTAAGGTGTGTCCCAACCAGTTCTGGCTAGGAATCTGACTTAAATTAAATACTTTTACGTGTAGTTGAAAATTTATTAGCCAAAAAAGTCTGTACAATGGCTTGTTAAATGTTCATCGATATAAAATCAATTTAGACAGCGATCTATAAAGATCAGACGATCAGACGATGGTATCGCAGGGACCCGTGTTAAGTTTAAGACGCCGTACCACGTACCCTGGCTAGTGGCGCATACTAATGTCTAATCCCTGTGACTCACCGGAACCAAGCGCCTACGCTTGTGTGTAGTTTTCTTTTTATATTTGATTTATTACCAAACGATTTATAATATAAGACGTTTGCTGAATGTTAATATAGCACTAGATAGAGAACATGGCGAAAATAATTCGCTTTCCTGATCTCAAAGAAGACAAAAGACTATCGTTTTATTTGACTTCAACACAGTTTTATATTTAGAGTTATGTAGTAAATCAGATATATCCAATTATAAGTGTCGTTCCGGCAGTGTAATGGCGCCATGTTCAGTGAACTTTCAGGAGAAAACAAACCCTGAGTCACTGCGGAGTGTGACTTTCAAATAAAAGGGATGAAACGTGAGTCAAACTCATGACTCAGCTCGCACAAATAACGTTCAGTATCTTGGAAGATATGCCATGTTTGGTCGCTACTGTTTATTGCATCGAATGTAGAAATTGTACTGTTCAAAATTATTGAATGAGCACTCTCTCCTACAAACTCTAGCACTTGTAAAGCTTCACAAAACATTTTAATGTAGTTCTGAAGCACGTTGGTCCTAACCGGAGGTAACCCCAAAAATATTGATCTTTCAATACACAACACACCGGAGCATTCAGAGGGGAGCGAGTGAGGGTGCAGACGAGACGTCCGCACAGGACATTCAACCTTAACTGTCGAGGATAACGTATATTTCAGCCTAAGGATGTAAAGGTTACATGAAGGTTGTCAGGCTGGTAACAGGCGCGTGCCAAAATAACGTCTTTAAATTGTTTTGAAGGGTTCTCGGGATTGTTATGGAAATTATTATTATGTAAGCATAGTTTTTGTTGACTTAGGATGACCTGGCGGAGATAAGGATAAGATATGCAAATCAATGTAAAATAATATTTATTTAACAACGGAGAAGGAGCTCTACTGTATGGAATAAGATTTATGATTTATTCGGAGGGTCCCCGTTAATGACAGGCCATTCATCATTAGACAAAACAAGCCCTCATTTGTATTTACACACGCACTGTCTATTTGTGTTCAAAATGATTTGTGTAGAAGGACTGTTGAGAAAGAAGAGAAGTATTCTGTCACAATAACTTCTTCAACTAAATCTATTTGCCAGTAAATACCAAAATTCCCATTTAAATCATTGCCCGCTGTTTGAAGTGCTGGACTGCAGATGCTTTGTGCAAAGCGTTCTGCCATTTAAAACCACGTTTAAAACCGACCGTCGTTTTCAAACGGCTGCGTTCTGATGCAAATGTCAAACGTTACATGCTCGAACATTGCAATTGTACATGTTTGTACGTTGACATTATACTATAATTATGAACACATTTCAGACGCCATTTTGTTAGCGTGAAAGCAAAAGTTTCTCGGTCATTTATTATTAAGATGCTTTTGTTTCCATGCACTTACATTTAAAACTTCACAGACAAATATTTTTAATACCTATTGTGTGTTAAAAGTGTGTATTTATTAAAACACATTTTTACTTTTTGGCGCAGAAGTGGAACGAGGAAAATCCAGTAACAAATTAAATGAAACAATTTAGAAGCCATAAAACATCAGCTGGGCTTAGACACATTACTGCATCCTTAGGGCATTGCAATTTTTATGTAGACTATAATTTAATAACCACGTAAAAGAAAATATTGTTTTAGTTTAGATAGGTTTAGATAAAAAAGCATTTCAGGCTACTCTTGTAGAAGTAGTTTTTTCCTAGTAAGTCCTGACAATAATTTATTGTATTCATTTTACATGGAGTCATGTATTGTAGTGTGTTCTTAACCGTATAACAATGAATACGCAAGCACTTAGACGGGATCTTTAAATAACTTTTCCTTTATTTTTAGAACAAGGATGTTATCTGGGTAGTTTTGACCTCTTGACACGAGCTCCATTCCGTCTCACTGTCTCTTTAACTGCTCTGTTGTATTCGAAGTATATAAAATATTATTCATATTGGATAAGTGTTGAGTTACTAACTGCCTTATTTAGAGACATTTACATAACATAAGTAACAATTTAATAATCTAGAATTAAGTTTATCGTCAAAATATAAATGGAAGTATGTTTATATTTTAATAATTAATTGTATATGAAGGAAACTGCTTTTTTGGCCAAGAACTGCGTCGAACCATTAAATGACTTTCACTAAATACGGCGCTATATTGAAATACGTAAATAGTAGAATCGATAATTATAATAATACAACTTAATTATATCCAATACGCAAGAAAATCTTTAGAAACTAGAGTATACTGATTATACGAGTATTTAGCCTAATCATTGTATTTAGTTTTTATAATTTACCTTTATGTCAGATATACAACCGTAGACAAGGTTACCACCCACACGATGGGATAACAAAAGACAATAGTCTTTCCCCTCCAGTGTTGTAGTGCAGTGGTTAATTAAAATGCACCTCATACAGTCAGGGGTTGTTCCCTAACTGAGTAACGTATTACGTCTTGAAGATAGATAATTATTATGCACAGACGTTTATTTGTGTTCTTCAGTCTCTTAATACCTTTTTTACTTCTCAACAAATAATATCTTTTCATTTATTTCGTTGCGGGATCCAAAACAGTCATTCATGTCCCTGGGACGCGCCGGACTTCAGTTGTTGGTGTTTTCATCGTTGTATCTACTGTAGATCCTAACTTACAGAAGTTACAGCGGTTTTGAGAGGTTGTGCCGGGCTTGTCGCACAAAAAAGCCTCCCTAAATACATTGTACGACTCTAAACGAATTTGTCTTTGCCGAACAATCCTAAGCATTCGCCACTCGCCGCCCTGTAAACCCTTTGTTTATACCACTAATTAAATAATTGCACGGCATTCCTAATTGGCGACATGGTGGCCGCTCCGCCGCCACTTTTTCTTCGAAGCGATTCCAACCATTCATTGTATCACGGGAATATAGGGTTTATTTGAAAGTGTACAAAGTTTGTATTTGAGTGCAGAAGTTTAAAAATTTGCGATGGAAAGTATTCATAAATGTATACTATATGCATCGGATCGCTTTCATGCTCATTTCGTGATTTAATGTGATGGAATCAAAATGCGAGAATGTGGACAACCACATGCACTGTGAATATACACAGTGCACACATCACATCATCAGCCTATAAGTGAGCAATGCATCTTCTTACTCGGAGAAGGTTTGTGCATATGAGTCAGAGTGATATATTCGTTATTTATATGATGGTATTCATGTAGACCAGATTGACAGAGAGTACCGAAATTAAGGTTTAGTTAGACCATGATTGTCAACATTGTTAAGTGGTGCTGTGATATCGAAAAGTGAGGTCAATGAATTATTTTTGTTAGTTAATCTCCTGTATAATTATGTACTTTCACGTTTCTCACACTATGTTTGATGTGTGCAGCGTGTCGGACGACAACAGCGGGCGCTGGGCGCTGCGCAACGTGGAGCGCGGCTACTTCCTCGGCTCCAGCTCGGACAAGCTCACCTGCACCGCCAAGGTGCCCGGCGACGCCGAGCTCTGGCACGTGCATCTTGCCGCCAGGCCTCAGGTAACACACTCACTGTTATCATCATCACCATCATCATCATCATAAGATTTTCGCCGGGAGAACATTTGATAGACAGAGGCAAGAGCAGAACATAGAAGAAAAATAAAGGATTATTTTTGTATATCATAAGTCCGCAAACGAGCAGACAGATTACCTGATGGTAAGCAATCAGCGCCGCCCGGGCGCAAGAGTTACTTAAAGTGCGTTGCCGGCCGCTTGTCATGTCATTAGGGAGTTGAAAGATGTTCGAAACACAACGTTTGTTGAACAAACGTTGTGTTTCGAACATCTTTCAGAAAGCCGACGTGAACAAAGTTTGTTCACGTCGGCTTTCTGTGCGACCGTGGTATCACTCTGGTCGAGCCGGCCCATTCGTGCCGAAGCATGGCTCTCCCACACATACCTAAGCATTATTTTACTGATTCTGCTGATTATCTCTTAGTAGTTTGTTGCAATTTTTGGACACTGCAATTTATTATTATTATTATAACCTAACCCCATATTTATTATAACCTATTATAATTGGTTAGACTAGCAGAATGTCGGTCCTTATAACAGCTTGGAGTTGTCATGCTCACTGAAAGGTCACACTGGCGGTGGCATGGGCACTGGATCGCTTAATTCCCTATAATATGGTTGAGTTGGGCGATGCTGGTGTACGTGTCATGCTCGTGAACGAGCGCCGTCAGTTGGGACTGGTCAGCTCCAGACTGTCTATTGTCCTTAAGGTTACTTTATTTTTATATTTGAATAAATATTAGTGTTACACTGTTCTCACATAATTGAACCAACTGTTTGTAAAAGGAATCTGTATGTGAAACTGATTTAAAAAGAGTAACCATGGAGTTTCTTGCTCGTTCTTCTCCATCGGAATCTACACTTTGGAACGAGCAAATAGCTTCACTAAGAGGACTGACCGACAGACTGACACTATTTTTTTTATTTTATATTTTGTTTGACGTTCAAAAGTGCCTGTAAAGGTCTAATTGGAATAAATGATTTTTGACTTTTGACTTTTTGACTCTTTTATTCTGTTCCTTCTTACTTACCTAACCGTTTACGATCAAATATTGTTTCTTTAGAATTTTATCTATTTTCGTTATTACTTGTGTCTTTCTAAAATCGCTTCCCGAATCGCATGAAACGATTTCGATTGAGAGACACTCGCCAGAAAGTGTTACATTTATCCAAGCCAATAACTTTTCTATCTCTAACCTATTTCAATGTTTAACAGAGAGAATAAAAGATATCAAAGTCCTTAAAAATAGACATTACTAGATCCCTTATTTACAAACCTAACTTAATTTCCTTTCCAAAGAGATCTATTCTGATTACACACTGCTGTGTCATGTACAAGCAAAATGCGGCTAATCCCGTCCCACACTCGAGCCCTGTATAATCTGTGTAATATCATCTGAATGACATATCGTGGAGATAATCCGCGCTGGAGTGACTTCGTGCCGTATCCACGATCTCACCGAGCCTCTTACTCGAGAAGCGCTGAGTCTTAGGCAAGGAAAGTCAGGTATTCAATGAATAAATTGTGATGGAAGATTTGTTATGAACGATATGGTTATGGTTATGTTTTGAATGCGTCTTAAAATATCAATAACTACATATGAGGGTATTCTTCGTGTAAACTATAAAAGAAAATAAAAAAAATATTATTCCGCATACGTTGAACGTGTGGGAGATCCATGCTTCATACTTTTCCATTCCTTATCCCTAAATACTCAAATCTCCAACCTATATAAAGGACACTCCTCGATGTGCATCCACCGGTGTCCAATTGTCCAAAAAAGTACTTTTGAACGTCAAAATATTGTGAAACTTCTCAGTAACATTAAGCATCTACTTACAAATGTTCACTTGGACATATGTTTTTACTACTCTCTACATGTTCCGGATGTATGGCCACATTATATTGTTTACCTCGCTGTAACTAATTCATATTGTTACTGGCACCACCGCGGCCAATTTCACTCAGTCTCATTTAACTAAACGTGTAAAACACGGACGATTCAAGTGTCTGTTTTTAATGGAAACTTGTCGAGCGAACTTATTTTCAAAGTAATTTTACCCAATCATAAACTTGTAACAACCGAAATTAATAAAATCAAGACTGATCTCAATTCAAAATCTGTGGAACGTTCTGATCTGTCATCAAATGACTTCTCCTGCCCAGGGTCGGGCGGGAGGGAGTGTCAGACTTACTGACTAAAACCCTCCTGTTCCTTCTCCTGCTCTGGGCCGAGGTAGCGGTGCCTCATTGCGGTTACCCCGCAACCCCGGCATCGTTTGTTAATTGAGGCCCTTAGTTGATATGCGGACTTGGTTCATCACGATATCCAACATAGTTTGCGATTATCCAACGAATTGAACACCAGCCTTACTTGTTCATCCATTATTTTAAGTTCAATGATCATCAGTAACGAAGACAGTCAGAAACGAGATTTAAGGATAGGGGAAAGATTGATGGTTATTTCACTCTTCTGTGTCACTCAGGTTGAGCCGACCTATTCGTACCGAGGCATGGCTCTCCCACACAAGTCAAAAGTTCCTTGCGTTTACAGTGACTGTGAGGATATTTTGAATATGACATTACACATACACGATGTTTTATATCATAGTATCTTCCATTGCTAAGCTCATTCTTGTTCCAGGTGAACCTGCGTTCAATCGGTCGCAAGCGCTTCGCGCACCTGTCGGAGTCGCTGGACGAGATCCACGTGGACGCCAACGTGCCGTGGGGGGAGGATACGCTGTTCACGCTGGAGTTCAGGGCCGACGAGGGCGGCAAGTACGCGCTGCACACCTGCAACAACAAGTACTTGAGTGCTGGAGGCAAGGTCAGTGCTACACACATATTTTATTGACTTTTTATGTTTTAGGACGGCATACGAGCATCTGGATAACCTGATGGTAAGCAAATAGCGCCGCTCTTGGAAACAAAGTTCCTGCTCCGTAAGAACAAAGTTCCTAGTCCGTGACCTGTAACATAAAAGGAGCATTTTTTCCTTTTGGGATTAGGGATTGGGAAGAGTTTTTGGGATAACACATCACACTAAAGTCAAATTGATTTACATAAAGCCCGTAAATAATGTTATGTGCTCGTTTAAAAAATGCATAGAGAACAAGGAAATCCCATATCTGAAATCATTGCCATTAATAGTCTTGGCTGATTAGTGCTACATGTTCATAATAGGATTTATTTCTGCATAATATAGGTGGAGGTCGCAGTTTAAAATTTCCAAGATTATGGGAAAGCCCGCTCTAAGTCAAGGGCAACTGATTCGAAACCTGGCAACTACCAATTTGACGTTTTCTTAGTTACACCTATGAACTTTCTATGAGCATTTAGACACCACTGAAATACTTGGATTCCTAATCTCTTAAACTTTGGAAATACGCATTGAGCAAGCAAGCCGATTATTGCTCAAACCTTTTCCGTATGAGAAGAGGCTCCGCAGTTAGCATTTATTGTCTAGGCGATGATTTTGCGTTCTAATACGATTCGATTGTCTTAATTGTACACGTGTCTAGTCATCTAAACCTTGCAAGTCATAAAAAATTATAAAAAGAAACTCATTTCAATAAGTAGTTAACTACACTAGTAATAAAGAATGATATTAAAAACTGTGATATCTGGCAGAGAGAAAATTGAAATATAAATGTACAATTAGTAAAAAGTTGTTGACACACCGCCCGCGGAACAAGACGTAGGAACGTTAAACGCTACACGCATTATTTGCTGCGGCAAATTGCGTACGCGCATCGCATATAGGGTTGGCACCGTTGACTTTATTAAGATGATAAAAATATTTATTATTACGTTCCTAATCAATTACTCTATCAGAAAACCTCATCATATTTAAGCATACATAGGGACATAGGGACAGAGCAAGCAACTTTGTTTAATACTATGTAGTGATTCTACGTTATTATGGGGATAGTTCTAGCTGGCATTAGAGTCACTCCGTGCTAAGCTTGCTATGGCTATTTACTAGGTGTCTTTGACTGAAACAATTTCCAATTTTACCTTGCCCTACAGTAGGATTTTCTCGTGTGTCGTGGGTGCGGTTACAAACATACAAAGTCACATACGCATGACACCCAGAATCAAAAGAACGATTTGTGTATCACACAAAGAGTTGTTCCATGCGGGGACAGCAGCCAGTTGCCCAGCCACTACGCTAGCCATGCAGTCAAAAGTTCATGTGGTCCTATGTTTACAAAGTTAGCATCCCTATAAAGATCCCAGTCGTCTGATTTAGCAAACAATGGCGGTGTGTCGATGTTTCCCATGGCGTCGCACGTGGGAACACGTCGATACTCGAGTTACGAGGGACCGCGTGAGACCCTCGTTGTCTGCGCCTCTCTATGGACAATAGCTGAGGAAACGGCACGCCCCCACAACTACTGCCGAACCAAGTTAATGACTTGATGACTCGGATGTTACTGCTTACGATACCATACGATTTATGGCCGCAACCAATGAATTAAACTGACCATGTTTACTAAATAAACATTACGCAGTGTTTCTTTGCCGCCTGTCGGTATACTTATGGAACTTTTTTGTACAAATGTACACGACGTAACATTCAGCGTGTGTAATAATGTTTACAAATAATCAGAACACGTTTTTTCTCTCAATAGCAGCTGTATTGAAGTGATCTGGACGTTGCACACACATTTCCATATACATGACACAACGGACATGTTTCCTTCAATCTTATTCATAAAAAATATGTATAACCTAATTTGTATGTTCTTCCTACAGCTGCAAGACCAGTGCACGTCCACGTGCCTGTTCAGCGCGGAGTACCACGCAGGAGCCCTAGCGCTGCGCGACGGCTCGGGCGCTTACCTCGCGCCCATCGGCTCCAAGGCGGTTCTGAAGACACGTTCCACCGCTGTCACCAGGGACGAGCTGTTCTCGCTGGAAGACAGTTTGCCACAGGCCGCCTTCGTAGCCGCTCTTAATGACAAATACGTGTCTGTCAAACAAGGTACGTTTTTACAATTAAACCAAATAACTGCTAAATTATGAAACAAACAATACATATAATACTTGAGAACAGGTTGGCATCTCAAAGCACTGCGACGGCTTCCGCAGGCAAAGCACCTATTTAAATCTTAATCTCTTCTGAATCAAATGCGGAATGGATGAAAGGCTCGTAACTACATAATGGACACTTCCTTTGTGTGGCGCATCGCTTCCTGCGTCAGACGTCACTGATACTGTGAAAGTTAATGGCAGCAGGCTGCTATTACTTGGCCTTCCTACCGATACTGCTAGTGCAGTCAGTATATGTACACATATGTACAGTACCTATGACGTCTTCAATTCATGCAGACATTCATTTCATGTCAATACTAGCTTCCGCCTGCGGCTTGACCCGCTTGGTATATTAATATAAAGTAGCGTATGTCTTATTCCGGAGTCCAGCTGTTTTTGCGTGATTGAGTAACAAACATCCAAACATCGTAACTTTTTATGTTTTATCAAAATAAAAAACAATATTCTATGAATTAGCAACTACATAAGCTCTCCAAACTCTATACAAACACAGTAACACAAAAGGCCAAAGAACTCTAGAAATAAATGGTGTCACAATCCATTCATTCAGTACTACCCCTCACCATCTCAGCAATGATGACGTGTGCAGATTGCTCGTGTTCTTGGAAGTCATCAGTTGTAAGAAGTGGCAGTGCCTTCGACACGGCGACCTTATTGTGTAGTAGTTGCTGACTTCGCATACTTGATTACAAGTTATGATGACTTTATCATCAAACAAAATGGCCTCACGTCTCGAACTCACTATTTACAACCTCTCTCTAGACTGCTATATGCATGCGCTGTATACAAGTCTCTATCTCTAACTATAATAAAAAGAAAAAAAAAACCCTCTCTCTATTTTTGACTTTTTAACCTTCCTTTCTAATCATGAATAGTTTAAAATTTAACGCAGTTTTAGGTGGTATTTTATTTTATCCGCCGATATTTTATAGCCGAGGTGTAAGCGCAATAATGCAATAATACATTGTGGCTCGGGGCTCGGGCCAAGAGCAGGAGAAAAAACGGTTGAGTTTTGTACAGTAAAGGGTGGTTTTTGGTTAGTGACACACATTCTCATCCCAACCAAAAAAAAAAATGTTAAAGTAAAATAATTCTCAACGTTATAAAACCCTAGGTCGGTTTATAAGTAAGCTGTACATCGCACGTGCGTGTACCAGGCGGTGAGGATTGCACAGGAGGTAACGGTGTCTCGACCCCTCACCTCGCGAACACTCAGCGCTCACTTACACTATTACCCTTACAGAGTTGCCACAAAACTTGTAGCAAATTATCTTTTATAACCGAAAATGCATTTCGATTTCGAGTCAGAATATAATAAGCTAGACTTGTTTAATTAACATATTAATTAGGCTTGTAAGTTAAACGATCCATATAACTATTTAATAATTTTGGTTGCAGTAATAATTAGCAGAAGATTTTTAGCAAATATGTTTATCTGAATAACATAGAAAATTGAAGAACTGCATTAAAATTCCTAAGTGAAGAACAGCGCATAGGCAAAGTTCGATAAAGATGGCGCGCTATGCAGAGTCACGCTAACTGAGCACTTAACATGGAACGACAATGTATAGGACAGGGGTAGTTGTATGTAGTTATATGTGTATAGTACAGGAGGCTGGGGATTCAAGAGCTGTGTTATATGCATAGTCACGGGGTCCATGAGAGAGGAACTTTCGAAAATATCGTTTTTATATGTGCCTAGACTTGTTTAAGGTCGTGGTAGCCCCGACGTTAAGGCTTCTCATGCATGAGGGTGTGGGTTTAAAACCTGGCAAGTACTAAATGTGACTTTCCAAATTATATGTACTTTCTATAGTTATTTAGACACCACTGACATACAGTGAAGATAAACATTGTCATTCATTGAACTTGGACTTTTAAGTTTGAAATCGCCAACCCGCAAACCTTTTTCGAGTGAGAAGAGGCCTGCGCTCAGCAGTGGGCACTTATAGGCTGATGATGATGAGACTTGTTTTTGTCCTGTCAGTGTCAATTATTGAACACGTTATGTGTTTTCAATTGGGTGCCTAGAGTATCCAAACAAGTTTATTAAACAGTAATGTATAATAATAGTCTGTAGTTACCTGTTTATTTTGCAAAAGGCCATCTAGAAGGTCACCTACGTGCTAAATGTTCGCTAAAAATGTACACAAAACAAATTGAAGAAAATCACGATTCCTATAAACTCAATTTTCAATGTCACGTTTCTATTTGACATCAATTTTTACAAAAGCAAACTTAAATACTAATCGTGGACGGATTCATCCGTTAGTGGGACGTTTTCTTATGACGATGATGGCCGGATTCACGTTTCTCGCTATACATATTTGATGTGAAATGGGATGGACAAATTGAAATGTTTTCTCACAAAAAGTACAAGTCATTTACAACATGGCTCGTGTCTCATAAGCTCATTATGCTATCCGTATTTTGTTAAATATATTTTTTTGATTATAAACTTTACTGCAAAATGATAAGCTTGAAAATTAATAAAAGTGAGATATTAAAAGATTTTAAGTGAGGGAGTCATGCTTCGGCACGAATGGGTCGGCTCTACCGGAGTGACACCACGGCCTCACAGAATACCGACGTGAAACAACCAATGTGTTGTGTTTGGCCGTGTGAGTGAGTTTACCGGAGGCTGAGGCCCAATCCTTCCCCCCCCCTCCTATCCCTAAATCGCCAAATCCGTAGACCCAAAAAGACTCGTGACTCCTGTTGCGGGTGTCGATGAACGGCGCTGATTGCTTACCATCAGGTAATCCGTCTGCCCGTTTGCCGAACTATCAACAAAAAAAAATCTACAGTTATCGATGAGGCAGCGCGCCTTGTCAATAATGATTGAGTTTTTATGCCCGTGTATCTAGACGCAGCTGGGTTTAGTGGTTTAGTCAATAAAGCATGACACTGTCAGTTCTTACACCCGTTGGTACAAGTATTCTGTGCCGTTGTCAATATGCAAAGGCCTTCACTAGGGGCCCATATGTCGTGGGTTGAGGGTCAATCAGCCATACAACATTTACTTCAGCAATGATTTCCAATTCCGCCGGTATACAGGTTTCCGAATCCAGATTTTATGTACAATCGTAACGAAAGCATTATAATAATTATTAGATGGCAACCGGTGTAGATAATATTAATGTAAATAAAAAGCACATCATCAGATCTAGATGGGTTCGGAGTAACGGCATCAGAAAGTGACAGATGGTGTGTGAGCCAGCCTGCGTTACTAATTGCTCGTCCAGCATCATTTACATAGGAAGCAGCACATCTCACAGGTGCACAGACCGCGTAATGCGTTGTTTAGATGCTGCATTACAATAATTCGCTCGTTACCTCCGCCCAGCGCCTGCTACATTGGCCGTGGCTGGGCGACCATCTGCTTCATTGTCAAAATAATTACTATTTCACATACTGCTGAGCACGCATGCAGATTACATAAATCTCCATATTATGTTTATTAAACTTCCAATGTAAAGCTGGCCAAAAATTTCTACATGCCTTTTACCGCAGATACTCAACATTATTTCAAATTTAAATTATTAAATTTCAACCGTAATACACGCGGCGGCTGGTGGCATTGTAAGCGATCCTAGGCCGGCCTCGGCTGTCTACTTAACCGTCCGTACCGAGATCTATTACACCGAGAAAAACGCACATTATAATCGGATATGCGCGGCGACTCGCATTCAAAAGCAAGCCAATTAAGAGGTATTCAGCAACGTCAAATTGTCAACGGAATTAGCCGATAGTGCGGCGCGCGCGCAACTATTCCGCGCAAAAAATGTGCGCTATGCTTTCTAACGTTTCTACTGCACGGATGCCTGCACAGTGTCGTGTGATCTCGCTACATCACTAAACTTTATAGTTTTAATTAAATTTATGGTCGACGGGCTCGCCGCGCCGGGTTCCGATCATAATTTTGTTATTCTTACATATTTAATTTGAATGTAATTGCTCGCTGCTTGCCTTCTCTATTTTGGTGGTTACTTACTTATGCATGTGTCGGTAAAAGTTGCACATAATTTGACTATAAAACCTAGTTGCTTACCGGTTTTGAAAGTTATTATTTTTGGCTGTTGAATTAAAATTAAGAAAACAAATGAGTGCAAAAAATTTGTACCACGAATAATTTAGTAATGTCATTGCTCTCTGCTGTAAACTTACAATTCTAAACAAAATTGAATTGAAATACACTTCAAATCTGACTATAGTAATTCCTTCTAACGAAGAAGTTATCAGGTGACACCATAACAACTCCTGGCTTTAAACCAACACCCAGTACCCGGTATTTATTTAGATGTGTACACAAAGGGAATGTGCCAGAGCTTTTTATACTGCATGGATACGAGTACCTACAGCTCAGTAGCTCAGTGCTCTCACACGCGGCTAATTACCCCGCACTCATACACCAACGCTGCACAGCTACAAGAAACATAATAAATTAAGCAGCACCACGTCAGCTATAAATAAAAGTCAGAAATTAATTATTTCATGCTAAGTAAGCCGTACAAGAAGATTATCTACCGAAGAAAGTTTACACACCAGTATAGATATATGTAGCTCCCGAGTATAATTAGCTTGATTTAAACTGCACAAACATCAACTTATATAAAAGTATTGTTCCTTTTTTAAAAAGTATTGTTCCATTCCATAGTGTTATCTCTAATGTGGACTAAGAATTATCACAGTTTTTCCAACATCAATACAGCCTTGAGCACAGGAGAAGGAACGGGGGAGGTCTTAAGTAAGAGTCTGACACTCTCTCATCTCAAGTCATTTGATGATTTCCCCTCACAAAAAAACAACAATACGCAAGACTTCTTCAGACATGACTATGAGAGTTATCGGTTTCTGCTTATGATGGCGCTAATGGACGCTAAGATCCTTTGTATCCATCGATCACTAATTTATTAGTGATCGATGTTTGTGTCATAAAAAAATCTCAGAATCAAACCTTTGGCCAGCATCGAACCTGTCCATACAAGTATACATATTGGATCATGTTTGTCTGTCGTCACCTGTCACCATGGTCATCGGTGAGCAGTGAGGCAGTGCCGATACAATCTGTAATTACGATGATGTGCAGCCGTGGCAGCGGGCGGACTGCGTTACACGCTCCGCCACCTCGCCTCGCTGCCCTGTCAATAATATCTAAGATAGGTATGCAGGAGACTAGCATTATCCGCATTACATCAGACCATTAATGTAATACCGTTCAATAAATGGGATCCTTCCTCAAGAAATGCATTAAGCTCTATAAATATTTCTCATATCATTTTAAGTATGGACATCATTTGCAATCGCAAGATACACAAGCAGCTATTTCTTAGTCTAACTGCTTATGATCAATAATAAATAAGCAAATTCTTAAACGTAAATAGGTTTTATGAGTAAGATCTTTTTGACCGCCAAGCTTTGATACATTTGTCATGGCAGCCACTTGACTTCATCTCATTCAGTAGGTACATAGCTGCGATGTTGTAAAATGACTTCGCGTATACTATCAGACTGCAGCAAAAGATTTATCGAAGTGAGTAAAACATTGGCTGCGCGTGTCCGTTACAAACAAATAATGGCGGGCAATGCATCTGCGCTGAGAGCGCTAGCGGTATCGTGCGCGTGCGCCGGCCGGAGCACGGTGATAGCGTACGACGGGCACAGGGCTGCACGACACACGGAAAGCAGTAAATACGGCGATGAGTTCTTTGCAATATCGAGTTATTCGCATTGGAAGTGTCAGTATATGGTATTCCGAAAGGATTTGCATACAAAATATTGCAGATACAACATTACCAGCGATAACTTTCCCAAATAACAGTTATATCGAGTTCCAATCAATCGCATTGTTGCTAAAAGTAACGGGTTTAGAAAGCAGTCAGTGTCATGGCGCCGCGGTTCACCGGCTCGCTTGCACTGCAGATGCAGGCGCCCACTACATTGTTGACATCCTATTGTACAATTACAAATTCCCTTGGCATTCCATTTTACTAACTCACTGGTCTATTGTATCTGTAAGCACTTAAGATATCTGGTACTTAACGACTATTATGTCTTCTCCTTAGTCCACCACTGCTCTGCACTAGAGAGAATTCTATGAAAATCTGGTTCGCTATTGAGTTCTCATTCGATTATAATGCTGAAAGAGATATAACGCTCTGATGATGTCATTTTATTTATATTTAAAAAAATAATGTTCAGATAGTATACATATATGAGTAGTGGCCACTTGCCACCCCTGGTCGCGCAGCCGTTGCGCACGATCGCCTGTCAGCCGCGCGGCAAATCTTTAACTCGCGCTACACTGACGCGCCAGCTTCCTGCCCGCGGCCCGCCATCGCCGGCTCAGCCTCGCTTAACTTAATGTTTGCTGTACTTCCGTGTCTGCCAACATTCTACAAATAGTTTTGCTTTTTACTGACCACACTAACTTAGTATGATATCTTCAATCTCCCTTTTCACTGAAAACCATTATTTAATAAATCTTTAAACCAACCTCCTTTACTATTACTAAAGAACACAATATTCTGAGTGTCGGTTGTAACGTCGGCTACAAGTAAATTCATTATATTCAAGAGATTCACTTACAAATACAGAGCCACTTCATTACTATGCACCGCTCAATTACGATCTCTAGTCAACCCCCGCGGGGGCACGCGCGATTATATTTCCACGACTCAGTAGCCCATACACATGGGACGTAAGCCAAACGATATTAGTTGCGTCATATACATACATATAGTGTTCCCTAAGCGAGAGGTGAAACACATCGTATCCATGCGTTGAAACGTGCTATATTTATGAATGAAATTAATAATTAAATACGAATAAACAACAATAATACCCTATAGTAAATAAAGTCTTATAAATTACAATTTCGTCTTATGGCTATTAAGGTATACGTTTTTGTTTGATGAAAAAGCTTTTTGAGACAGAAAAGTTTTACAAAGCTAATTGAATTGAAAGTAATGTCGGGACAAACAGCAATCTTCATGTAAGAGGCCCTGAGAGCTCGTGGAGTCTGTGGTGGTTTAGCTCCCCACTTGAGAGGTATATCTTGGGCCGGTGTGTGTTTGTTCATTTGCTAATGTTTGCACTCTGTGTGCCGTCTCGAGTGCTCGGACAACAGGCACATACGGTCAGCTGTGCTCTCGAGAGGAGAGCACTTACTCGAGTGAGAGAACTCAGTCTAATATCGGGACAAGGTCAATCGTGTGGAATAGAGTATGAGAGTAAACCCATCGTACTTGTTGTAGTTTTGTGAACATTCATCAATGTTTGTTAGCTGAAAATTTACGACTCACAGCGACACACAGTACGCTGCTCATGACTAAGAGACCCGTTGGAAATTTGGGATAACTAAACTTGTAGTAGAGATTTTCTCAGTTAAATCACGCAAGTAAGTCCTCTAATAATTTCCTATTCCTCAAATAATTTCAGCTAAATAAAATTTGTCATACGGGAAGATTGATTTTGGGTTTTTATAAAACTCCGAACAGCAGCATGAAGCAGAAGTTTGAAGTTGAACATTAGGAACCATACCTTTATTTACTTCTTACCATACCGATATTTTAGGTACCTTGAACACTAAAGTTTCCAACGTCTCTCTTAAGCACCTGATACACAAATAACAGAACAATATTAAACTACTACAAATTATGTATTATTCCTTCCAGGAGTGGATGTGACCGCGAACCAGGATGAGATCTCCTCCCACGAGACGTTCCAGCTGGAGTTCGACTGGGCCACGCGCCGCTGGTACATCCGCACCATGCAGGACCGGTATTGGACCCTTGAGACCGGAGGCGGGATCCAAGCTTCTGGAGACAACAAGTATGTTCATCCTCCTAAGTGAAAATGGAAAGAGTAAATTCATTGAAAATAATTGTTTCACAATGAAAAACTTTCAGAATGTAAAATTTGAGAACTAAAAAGTATTTTCTCTAGTAATGATAATTTCTTTTCCATTATTTTATTTTGAACGAGTCTCAGAATTTAAAGTTATAGGTTCTCAGGATCTAGGTTCATGCTGACAGTAAATCTAAGAACTGAGTAAATCAGTTGTTGTTGTAATTGTAACATGCTGGTTTTGTTCAGATCCTCGAACGCTCTCTTCGAGTTGGAGTGGCAGGGAGACGGCGCCGTGGCGTTCCGCGCCAACAACGGCAAGTACCTGATGACCAAGCGCTCCGGACACCTGTACGCCAACGCCGACTCCATCGACGACAACTGCAAATACTACTTCTATCTCATTAACAGGTCCGTAACATGACACAGTAAACACTTATTCATGCTCCACTCTGTGTTTAGTAGTGAGGTTACCGGAAGCCCTAACCGTCCATTTATCCCCAATTCCTCAAATGGAAGTAACAACTAAAAGGGTGAACTGAAAAAGCATTGAATATTTAAAACAACTTAATTGCCTAGACTACACTAAGCAAGGAAGTTATATTATTCAGTACAAACATTAACCCCCGATAACAAGCAATACGATAGTATTTTTCCAATAACCTACTCAGTTATATAAAAACAAGGAAACTTCTGTTTTGTGTTGCTTTTTGGTTTTAAATTGTACTATGGTGCAGGGTTTTTTTTTTGTTCAGTTAATCACTAATGTGTTTTACAGGCCTATCCTGGTCCTGAAGTGCGAGCAGGGCTTCGTGGGCCCCAAGGGTGTGAGGCTCGAGTGTAACAAGGCCAACTACGAGACCATACAAGTGATCCGCGGACCTAAGGGCGCTGTCTACTTCAAAGGTAGGCCAAATAACTAGCTATAAGTATAATGGTTAAATGTAATAGTGTGAGTTACCATTGGCACGCTTTATTTGTGGCATGGCTGTACGATTGCTGAGCGCGGCAGTACGAATTCTAATCTCAGGTCGTGCAATATCGACTTAGTGTATATATGTATGTACTATAGAACAATCGGTTTCGCGAATTCCAATGCCATGTTATTGACCCTATACTCTTGTTCCAGGACAAAACGGCAAGTACTGGCACGCAGACAGCGAGTCAGTGAGCTGCGACGCGGACTCCCCGCAAGGGTTCCACCTGGAGCTGCGCGAGCCCACGCGCCTCGCCATCCGCGCCGCGCAAGGCGGGGACTACCTCGCCGCCGCCAAGAATGGGAACTTCCGTCTCGCAGGCCCCGACCTCAGCACCGCCACGCACTGGGAGTACTAAGCCCACGCAGCCAGGAATCCTTTTGATCCCATCATCACTACTGCCCGACTTGTTCAATCAAATCAAAGACTGACAAGTCCTTCTCAATCTACAGGCCTAAGTTAACAGAATGCAGGCTGTCGACAGGGCAGTTATACATCATCACTTCATTAGTTCATCAAATCATGTTCAAAAGGATCTCCCCCGCCCCAACAATACTCTTCCACTGCCGCGCGCACGTGTTGTACACGAGCGACGCGGGACTTGTATCTTCATATCGAGAATGTGAACATGGCGGGCGCGCGCCCTTACTGCCGTTATACTCATTTTCCTTTAGCCGCCATCTTGCTAGTTGTGGCGGCGACGAACGACCCAATCAGCCAATTCTGAGACAGAATCCGCTGCCTGAATGGTTTAATTAAATGATAAAATGGGAATGTTAGTCAATGCTCCTGCATTGACGATACACATTTCGTGCTAAAAAAAAACAATGTCTAGAACGTAGCGTGACAGTGAGGCGCCGCCCTGCTTTGCATTTAGTACGAGTAAGATGATAGTATCGCGCGGCACGGCGCGCATGTGATCACTATGGAAATATCGCTTCGTCTTGTTGTAATCATAGATTATTTTCCTTGTAATTGCTAGATCTGCCGTCACGTCGCTTACGTCGAATTATTTTTATATTTAAATATTTTGTGACCGTTCACTCGTATCGCTTCAATTATTTATTCTAGATTGTATGGTATATTATTAGTACGGAAGACATTATTCTGAAATTTTTCGAAAAATATTTATTGGATATTGTAGTGTCTAGTCGATGGTTTTTATACAATTTTTATCAGCTCCCAGTACTTGACTACCGTCGTGTCCTGTAGGTTAGTGAACGTGAACATCGTGAGACTGATGCCTACAAACAGCACATAACTGCAGTAACACTATACCGTAATTAATTTAAGTTAAACAGGGATTGACGCAATACCAGACGAGTGCTCGGCACCCCGCATTGCTCAACTCGGTCTGACTATATTAACTCTGCATAACTCCACATCCAAACTCGAACATGTCACACCACACAGAACTAATCACAGCAAACGTACAGGAACATGTGAACAGTAGCTAGTTGTGCATAGTTAATGTGACAGACTCAAGTATTGTACACACGGGCGAGTCTGGCGACACGTCGGCCGCGTGTACGAGGCGTGCCCGAGCCCGCGGGCACCGAGTCTGGCTTCTAATTAATGAACATGTAAGGTAGGTAAGTTATTGTAAGTTATCACGTTAGGGTAAGCTCGAGCCGCTCCCAACTATATAATCGTCCATTCCATGCTTTTAGAGTTACGACATGGGATTAAAAACCATTTTTTACTAATATTTTTTACATAAAAACTGAGATTTGTATCTGGTGCATAGTCTTGTATATAAACGGTTTCCATTTTCGTAATAAGTCTGTACTTACGATAACGTTTGGGAAGCGTTGACTCTTTTTTTATAATGAACAAAACGAGAAATATGATGTTTTTTTACTGAGGGTATTTTGTATGCAATGCTGATTCTGAAATATTTGTACGATAACGTCTTTGTAAACTATTAATGAATAAATTATAATCATATTGTACATTTGTGTTTTATTTGTATTCTGGTCCATTACCTAGACCTTGAACCCTCTACTTCCGTCAGATGTGTCATCAGTGCGGCGGAATGTTAATGCAAGCTTAGCTGTTCTTCTAGGTACTTATCAATTTAAAACTATGAGTAAAGTCAATTCTTTGCTTACGAAACAAGCCACCCATTGAATGTTAGTGTGTAAAAATATTGGAACAATAAAAATATCCCTTTCTATTCACTAATCAGAAAAAAAACACATGAAATATTATTATCATGAAAACACATGAAATATTATTTCAAAGTATTTGGACTTAATACCATAGCAAGATGTACAAAATATGGGTGGGACAGAGTTTTTGCCATAGTTACTTTAAGCTAGGTACCTCCTGTAGTAGAGCACAGCCGACAGGGCCCAAAGGGGAAGTGACAGGCGGCGACCTCTTGCGTCCGGCCTAGCGGCCTAGTGTCGAGGTCCAGGCCATGGTGCAGGACGAGATCAACTGGGAAGCCGACTCCTCTTTTTGCGAAGAAGTAATGTTCGCAACGAAGGATTTAGGGCGCGTGAGGAAACTATTCTCCTCACGCCCCAGCCGCCGCAGTAAGCGACACGAGGCATGCGGTATGCGGACGTCGAGCAAGGGTAGCTCGCCCTCCGACTAGGACCAGATAGAGCCTGATTTTCCGTGTTGTTGGTACCTGCGCTTCTCCCAGTTGTAGTCTCTTATGTGCTTTTAAGCCTTAAGTCATTCTGTCTCCTGCTTTACTAGGTGAAGTGGAAACTATTTTCTTTTTTAATAATATCTTCTGATTTATTTCTTTTTGGGATCGAAGACAGGATTCATGTAGGTACCTGGGACGCGCCGGACTACAGCATTTCGGTGTTATTGGTTGTCTACTGTAATTCCTGGTTTGCAAGAATAGAGCGGTACTGCGAGATTGAGGGGCTTGTCCAAAAAAAGACAAGGAACAGGATATTAGAAGTGTGGGAGAGCTATCATAATTATGATAGCTCTCCCACACTTGAATGGGTCGGCTCGACTGGAGTGGTACCAAGGCCTCACATAAAACCGCCGTCAATCAACAACAGTGCTATGTTTCGCCGTGTGAGTGAGGTTACCAATCCTTCTACTCCTCCTATCCCTAATCCCCAAAAGGTCAACAACGCACTTGTAAATCCTCTGTTGTTGCGAGTGTTCTTGGGCGGCGCTGATTTCTTACCCTCAGGTAATCCGTCTACTAGTATGTATCATGTAGGAATTCCTGCAGATTATTTTTTATTTATAGTAATTCTGTAAAAAATAATGTATAATTGACAAGCCCATACAAATCACACTTCGCTTAAGTACACTAGCTATAAATACACCTGTGATATAGTGATCTTAGAGCTGTACTTCGCACCGAGCGCACGGCGTGTAGCGTTCCGCGCGCGGTTCAGAGCCATAGCACAGACGTGGCCCGACAGGGCCGATGTTCAGCCGTCGTTGGGGGGCAGCACCATAAAGTACCGCGCCTCGGCGTAAAACAGGAAAAGGAACGGGAAGTTTTTAGTCAGTAAGAGTCTGACACTCCTTCTCGCCTTACCCTGGGCGGGAGAAGTAATTTGACGATTATTTTCCCATGACAAAAAGTCATGTCAGTCTGATTTATTCTGCAAATACTCCTCACGCACTTCTGCGCTAGAAACACACGTTGTTTATCCGCCGAGTTATCCCAGAAGATGATACCGTACCTCAGATCCCACGTATCCATGGTAGGCCGTAAGTACCGTTGACGACTAGCTTCTCTAGATAGCATGCGTGAAGGATTTTGTGGGATTGTTCGTAAACTTTCTGGCAAAGGTTATCAATGTGAGTAATTTTAGTTCCCATATGGTCAATATTAAGATCAGTAATAATTGGTTTTCGATTGGAACATCAAATGATTTTTCCTGCCCTGTGTGGGCAAGAGTGACACTCTTCCTGCTGCGGGTGAAACCTCGGAAATTTTGGATCCAGGGTTAAACTTAGAAATATAAACTACTCACGAAATGCATCCTCAGCGTATGTCAAGAAAAAAGTAAAGTAAGTTAGGAATGGGTAGGAAAAGTTCATACTTGTGAAATGTACAAGCAACTTTAACATTAGAAGTGTGAGAGAGTAAATAATACACATTGATGTATTGAAAAACTTATATATTTTAATTAAATAGTTACATTAATCTTTACAGTTTCTCCCTAGCTAGTGACACGTTGAATTAGCATCGATGCATTTAATGGTCAAGAAATAATATTAAAAATAAAAATTATAATTCATCTAAATAACGGATAAACAATAACCATATCAACCTGCTAGTTAATAAGCGAAAAACAAACGTCCACTGTGTCACCCGCGCGAGTAGCTGTACAAACTGTAGTCTATTTATCAACAAATGGATTATAGTAAAATTATATAAATGCGATTTCTTATCTGGCAAGGAGGTGATTTTGTTCCACGCATGGCAACACAGTGAGCGTGTAATCTAAACGTAAATAATTTATCTAATACGTTGAATACTAATATAATGAGGAAATAAACATAGCATACATATATTGACAGTACTGGTGATTGTTGCCGGAATTATTTGTACGTTGTAAACGCATTCCTGTAGATTGGACGCGGCCCAGTGACTTGTGGCAACTTGCCGCCACACCCTTACGTGTTTGTTCGTCAAACAATATCAAAATAAGATAAAGCTTCGAAACGAACGACATACTTGTTTACAAAATGTTTCTTATGTATTTCAATGTATAATTAATTTTATAATGTCTAAGTCAAAATGCAAAAATAGTGAACAACTGTTTGGACAAATAATTTTGCTCTTGAAACCGTATATTCAAGATTGTCCCCCTGTAGAGGTCAGCAGCCCTCGAGAAGTAGCTCTCTAAGGGGTCAATAAAATATGATGAAAAACCAAAACCCTCAGGATTCGTTAGTAACTTGTTAGCATTACGGACGTAAGTAATGAGAGGAGTGGGGAGTTGGCCGGACGCTACCGCTGACTTCTCAGCTGTCAATACTAAGTCACATACACCCCAATCTCCAATTTAGCAGATTACGTCAGGAGAAGCCAGCCCGTTACGTTCATGATCATCATAACATATGTTTGAGAGGGGAGAAGAGAAGAGAAGTGGAGGGCGACGTACAATACAATTACTGTAATACAAAACTTTACTAAGGCACGAATAACAACTTGTCACCTTAGTCGTCGCGACAACATCTTGGTGTCTTCCACAGAGTCGCAGAGCACAAAGGCGGGACACACAATACCGAACGTGGGACAAGGCGACAACTCAGTGGAAGTCACCAAGCGTTTTACCAAACTCTTACCACGCGAGTGGGGCCCGAGCAGTGACGATGTACACAGCTTCTACGTGACTGTACAACCGGCCACACACCTCGTTACGCTCAGCAAGGTTTTTGGTGTGTTAACATATTATTATGAGGCACAATGGTGCAACCATTACACGCTTACTATTGCTCATAATATAGCCACGGACATCGCCACGGATCACGTCAGATATAGACTCCCAACTATTCGAGAATATTGTACAGGTAATCGCGAATGTGTAGCGGTCGACGTCGGCCCCAAACGTTAACACTATTGCCGCTACTTCACTATGCTACTTTACTATGTACTCTGTCTGTCTGTGCGCGCTGTGCACTATTATTACAGTCTAGCCTTACGAGTCTGATTTAACCAGACCCGTTTAATATTACAATTATGTAGATTTATTGCCTTATTTACTTTAAATGTCATTACATTTACGTTGACGATAGATATAAGCACATAACACGACCACTTTACAACTATATACTTTATCAAATCGGAAACTGTACAATCTTAATTATTCAGATGTTTGTACAATATAAAATTACGAATAATTTCCTAGCGCAGTAACTAGTCTACGTGCGGCGGCGACACACAGACAGACAGGCTCGGCTACATATATTACACGACAGCTCACAGCATTATCCAGTCTATTCATAGAGACATTTCATGTTACATCCTGTACTGCGGCTGTAGTCAGTGGGTGTCGACACATCGACACAACGGAACATACACACGCTGACAACGCAATAATACTCAACACGACTAATTTCTTATTTATTATAAGTATTATATTTTTAAATAGCATCCGTCGTACATTTTATACATTTTTTTAATAAAATTAAATCATTTTGTATTTTTTTTGTCAACATTTTTTTTGTATTGCAGATGGCATCGACACCCGAGTCTTCTACCTACCACCAATGAGTCCATAATATATTATTAGAACATAATTTCACATTATACCACACACCATTGCGTAATTATTATTACAACAAATACAATTAATATACATACATTTTATTGGTAATCAAACTTGGTGATCGTTTGTATAATGACGTACAAAAGAAACAAAATGCTAACTCCGTAAAGCGGCGACTGAGGAATAAACGATTGTTCGGTACTAGTACTCGCGACAGTGGGGTACACTTATGATTTGGTCAAGTACACGTAGTCGTGGTAGTAGAACAGTTTGTGAGGGGGGCGCCGGACCCGGGCCGGGCCTGCCTCAACCGGCCGCGCCGGGTACGGCCCGGCCCGACGCCGTCGCAGGCGACGTGCCCCGCGTTAGCTTGATCCCTGCAAAAAACAATATTAAATTCAATTAACCATGTACATAAACGCCTTTACACAACAACGTCAAAGTATTAACTTTGACACTTGACATTTTAAGGATCGCTAGACATTAACAATTCACAATTACGCAATATAATTTGGTTTTATATATATATTACTTATTGAAATGAATATAAAATACAAAGATAAGTACCTGTGTGGTGAGCGGCTAGGAGAGGAAGGGGTTGGGCGTGTGTCGTTGGTGCGGGGGCGACCAGGGCGACGTGGAGCGCGGCGCTGGCACGGGGGCCCACGGGTCCGCGCCGCCCGCCGCCGCCATGCCGCCCGCCAGCGGGGCCGCCATGCTGCCCGGGGCCGCCATGCTGCCCGGGGCCGCCATACTGCCCGGGGCCGCCATACTGCCCATGGGAGCCGACGCCCCAAACGCTGGGGACGCCGTGCCGAAGTTGAGTCCTGTCAGACCCATCTGCTGCTGTTTCAGCTCGTTCATAGTTAGCCTTGCCTGAGGAATATAATTATCATTATGACAACAACACTAATTGAATTTGCAAAATTTGGTCATAGAAACAAAAAATGATTTATTGCAATTTTCTTCAGGAATTGATAGTTCTCTAAAATTATTCAGTGTAACTTGTATTAATGTTGGAGTGTGACAGATGTCGATAATTGATACACTTTTTGTATTTCTGAGAGGATTTTAATCGGCTGATTAAAATGGTGAGCTTGACCGATTGAGTCGATAGCAACAGAACCCCTTCAAATTTTACAGTCAAAAACAACGATAACAGCATTTTTTTCATTTTTTGGCCTGAAGTTCACGTATCGCACTAGAAAACATAACGCCCGGGCTCAGGCGTGTTTGTAATTTATTGAAGTTAAAGAGAGTATCGCGGACTGACCGGCTGTGGCTGTGTGAACATGTGGTGGGGGGCGCGGGGCGGGGCGGGCGCGGCGAGGGGCTCGCCCGCGAAGGGGTTGTGCGGCGCGGCGGGGGGCTCCGCCGCCGGCGCCGGCTGCAGCAGCCGGTCCAGGTTCACCAGCGACGAGTTCTCGCCCAGGAACGCAGACGGTGACTTCTTCATTCCCGCACCAACCGCCGGGGACGACGGCTTCGGTGTGAGACTATCACCTGTCGCAAAATTGTTATTTTAGTTTTATTTTAAGTTAGAAAGACTTCATTTTTTGTAGAATGTTCCCTAATACTACGATTTCCAAAAAGATCATCTTATACATGAAAGTTTGATAAATGTAAATCTGCCTATTTCTTTTAAACAACATTGTGTATACTAACTTAACGCGGTGAGATCGAATGGGTCGGGCTCGGCATTGTTGTTGATGTTGTTGCGGGGTCGCTGCGATAGTGCGTCGAACTGCTCCAGCTCTGACGATGAAGGCGACGATAGGACCGATACTGGAGACTTGGCCTGCAAAATCATAATACACAGAATATTAATTCCTATCCAATATTAACAAACTTGTGAATCGCTTCATCTAGAAACTTTTTATTGTGGTTATATGTGCCAAAATTATTGGAAAGTAAAATAAGATGTTTTTATAAAACAGGAATGTAAGTGCACCGGATGAACATGTGCTAATATCGTTAAAAAGATTCTTGCAAATGCCATAAGTATTGTGATGGCAGCCATACATAAGTAAATGAAGAACTTAGTCCTTGGTAGTTTCTGATACCCTAACCTACATTTCGCACTACTTACATGCGCGACGGGTGCCCAGGGGTCAGCCGGCGCAGCAGCGGGGGCCCAGGGGTCCTTCGCGGGGCTTCCTACTGCCGACCATGCGTCAGATGACGTCTCCTGTACATTCAAAGAAGATTTTAAACATTTTGTCTATTTAAGAGAGTGAACATTAGCGTACCATTACACAGTAAAACCACTACCATTTCGTATTAAAACTATTTGTTTTTTTTTATTCTAGCAAAATCTACGTATAGTTTGACATGGAGTCGCATCATATTCTAGTTTCAACGTTAATCAACAAAACACACTTGTAGCGAATTACTGTAAACACTTGTAGGTCTCACCATTGAGTCTGTAAATATACTGAAATCCAAATGCGACTGATAAAATAGAAATAATCATGTTAATGATCTATTGACACAATATTTGTCAGGACACATAAACTAAGTGAAAAAGATGTAAAAATGTTAGCAAATTTATTTTCAAGGAGATGAGTTATATTAAACAAGCTTTCCCGGTGGCTTTGCCTGCGGTAACAGGCTATAAATAAGCCTATGTGTTATTCCAGACTATTATCTGTCACCGTGCTGAATTTCCCCTTACATTTATTCAGTAGTTTTTACGTGAGAGAGTTACAAACCTACATTCATCCATACTTACAAAATTTCGCAAAATTTTCACAAACCCCTCACTGATACCATTCACGTTAGTTTGACATAATATTCATGTATTGGTGGTTGGTAACTTAAGTATTTACCGGTCTAGGTTGTTCGACGCCGCCCCACGGATCCACTAGTGGGGGTGGCGCGGAGGACGGCGGACTGCTGAGGTTCACGTCCAGCAGGTCCAGCAGGTGCGACTGTTGGGACGACGACTGGCCCTTCTTAGGCGGCGGCAGGCCATCTGTTGTCCTGGAGAGATATAGTTTGTTAGAATAAGTATATAAAATACATTTATGGTGTATAGATTGCAAACCAAAACCAAGAATTTATTTCAAGTATTCTTGGTTAATAGAACGAGGTAATAAGTGCGCTGATTTAAAAAGAAAATAGTTATATACTGATATACAACTACATGTGCCGAGCTCCTTCGTTGGTGGCCTATCATACTTTTGTATTTTAACTATTAATTTCCTGCGCATGAGAAAAAAAAGAAAGAAGGTAGAAAGAGAAATCATTTATTTGTAGCAGCCAAAAACAAGAAAACGTGGTACAACAGATAAAATAAATATAAAAAAACAAATAAGAATAGTAAAGTATTCCCGGTTCTGTGTAACTATGATCAATATAATGTTCTCCGGCTACGCACCACAAACGATTTGGTTTTTATATATAATTTCTGCAGTTTCTGTAAGGCGAGGCTTAGTTTAGTTTCAGGGCGTAGACTGACGAAGGATGGGTGTGCGCTAGCAGAGGTAACTAGGTAGTGAGGTGTCGGCACTGACTGTATTACATTCGGTCTGAGACACTCCATGCAGCCGTACAGCCAGCCGCGCGGGACCTCCCAGCGCGGGGCCGCGGGGGGCGCAGTCGGGGGCGCCGCGCCCTCCACTACCGACAACGCTGGCGCAGAAGGCGCGGGGTATTTGTACGAGTGGAGTCGTACTGCTTCGTCGCGGAGGTAGGTTTCTATTCTGGAGGGGATGGGGTTAGGGTTAGGATAGGAATTAGGATCGAGTTCTCATTGTCATGGTGCACGATTATAAGGAAAAGGAACAAAGGAGATGACAGTGGCAGGTTTGTGCCCAAAATGTATTGATGTTCTTTGCTAACATTTTGTTATGTTAATAAGACCAAAACATAACTGATTATCCTCTTTAGGCATCATTAATGACTGTCTTGTATCAATATAGTTTTATGGATTACCTGATGGTAAGCAATCGGCGCCGTCCAGGGACACCCGCAACATCAAAGGAGTTACCTGTGCGTTGCCGGCCTTTTGGGGAGAAGGGTTCTGGATATTGAAGGATGATAGATACATAAATAGGAGTATGCACTAACTGGAAGTCCTGCTGGGACTGGCTGATGGCGAGCTGCAGGCGTACGTCGTCGGAGCGGCGACGCCTCTCGTCGCGCTCGGCCTCCTCGCGCGACATGGCCAGCGCCAGCTGCAGCTGCAGCTCCTCCTCGCCCGCCGTCAGCGGCCGCGCCAGCTCCGCCTCGCGCCCGGACCACTCCGCCGACTCACCGCTCAGCTGCAACACCACATACCACTTACACATCCACACACACACTACATAACGCGGCAGCAGATTGTTCAATAGTACATTATGATACAAGTGTGTCAACTTAGTGATTACCGCAGAGGCGCATCTTAATGAGCCGAGGACGATACTCATCAATACAAACATGTATCATACTATGCTTTTTTTAACACACTTCTGAATAAAATAAAAAATACTTCAAAGGGAAAAATTAATCAGTATTCATGTAATCAGTATGGTCCTACTCGTATTTAAGAACTGGCACTCTTCACTTGGCTGATTGTCTCTTTTTAACGATACTTAAGAGAATATTAATAAAAACTTGTAGTTTTGTGACATCATAGCTATTCTAATTTATTATCTGTATCTGTGGTGGACCAACACGATTTGACGAATGAATTTAAGATTTATAGTAAAATAATAAAATTAGATTAGAACGATAATTGAATAATTCATTATATCGTAGGTCACAAAATGTAAAATAAGTAAGATGTTTTTTCTGCGCAAACATGCCTTTCATAAAAACCAAAAGTCCAAAATGAGTGGACCATCTATTGGGTATTATTATTTATTATTAAGTTCTACAGGATTTTGTATTATAACGTTAGTTTTTATGGCAAATAGAATAGAATAGAATATTCTAGTAACTCCAAAAATTAGCTAGAAAAATTCGATATTTAGAGTTGGGTATATGAGATAGTGTAATTATTTTTCAAACTAATTTATTTTTAATTACATCCAATACCTAGGACCATGGGCTAGCTACAATTCAAGTATCCAATAATAATAAATGGGTTGTGTTAGTTAGGTTCAATGTGCTTACCGTAGGGTATGGGCTGGAGTCTAGCCCTCCTAGCGCGCCTTCACTGCCGAACTGGAAGGGACACAACCGACATGTTATCAGGGATCTAAGCGTTAACACGTGACTTGTTAGAATGCAGTGATGTGTGACAACATGTGAATATAATAATGTTAGATTGTGCATAGAAACAACGAGCGTGCTAAGTGCCAAGTATTATTAAAACACATAATAATATGTACATTACATAAGGCACGAACGAGAGAAAAATTCAATGACAATTCTTCGTTGAAATTCGATAATTATTCTCCAAATTCTTATTAAAAGGGAAGTACGAGCGTCTCGTAAGGAGGAGAGCAAAACACAAACTGTATGTTTTGTTTTCTCTCAACTTTGTTTTTTTATGTGATAGGTCGGCAAACGATCAGACGTATTACCTGATGGCAAGCAATCAGCACCGCCCATGGACACCCGCACCAACAGCAGAATTACGAGTGCGTTGCCCACCTTTTTGGGATTAGGGATTTAGGGATTAAGGGAGAAGGATTGGGCCTCTGGTAACGTTGCTCACACGGCGAAACACAACGCTGTGGTTGTTTCACACCAACTTTTTGTGAGGCCGTGGTATTACTCCGATCGAGCCGACCCATTCGTGCCTGAGCATAGATCTACCTATCTATTACAGTTTGTACAGTGAAGGCTATTCTATGGTATGGTGTGTAGCGGTACTCACGGCAGGGTAGGAGGGGCTGCTGGGCGTGTCGAGTGCGCCGTCGCTGCCGAATGCGCTGGCACTCTGCGCGAACCTCTGCTTGGCCTTGAGGGCGCGCGCTCGCTCGTTCTTCAGCCTCTCCTCGTCCTTCAACAGGTTCACTAACGCTTTCGCCTTCTCACGAACGTTTTGACCTAGAACAAGTATTATAATATGTTAGGAAACTTGGAGACCTGAACGTGGACCTCAATGTCTTAGGGCCGGTTTTTTGATCCGTAGTTAACCCAACCAATTGTTAAAAATCTTGACTAATGGTTAAATATCGACAAAATGTGTTTTTTGATCATTAGTTAGCTTATCTAATTGTCAAATTATTAACTATTAGTCAAATAATTTAACCACTGCTCGGTGGCGGGTTAACCAAGATGGCGGATAGTTAAACTAGATTCGACAGCTGATTCTTGCTTTGTTGTATAATTTTGTGATCTCATTCCGAAGAATTACATTTTATCTATAATTAATTTAAATATTGTCCGTTATTTTGATGCGTCAGACTCAGAAGATTTAAAGTTAGAACTGCGGTTTTCCCTGGAAATTTATGAAATAATGAATAAAATACCACATAAAAATACATAGTAAAAATACCACGAAAGTCAGCACAATATTTGAAGACTTATGGATGACAATTCAATAACCTACTAATATATAATACTAATACCTGATGGTAAGCAATCAGCGCCGCCCATGGACACCCGCAACGGAGGAGTTACGAGTGCGTTGCCGATCTTTTAGGGATAAGGCATTTGGAGACTGAGGGATTGAGGAGGGATTGGGGGAGGGGAAGGATTGGGCCTCCGGTAACCTCACTCACACGGCGAAACACAACGCTGTGGTTGTTTCACGCCGGTTTTCTGTGATGCCGTGGTATCACTCCGGTCGAGCCGACCTATTCGTGCCGAAGCATGGCTCTCCCACACTTATAAGACATATAAAGAAAGACATTTCCTTACTTGTTTCCTGACATTATTATTTAATAAAAAGTCCTTTATTTCTTGCAAAAAACACCAAGTTTAAGAAAACACTATAAAACCCATAGACAGAGAATAGAATAGACAAGCTATTAAAACAATAATAACGGTTAGAGCGAGAAAGTGCAGATGGAATATATGTAGGTGTGAGCAAGACAAAACAATTATGTTTCTTGTCCCTTTTTAGCGTAATTACGCTTTATTTTATTTAAATCGAACCAATACGGTAAATTAATACGGTAAATTGCAGTGAAATTGGCTGTAAAAGCCGTAGTGAGCCGTTTAATGTACATACCTACCTATAATGTATATATAAGACATTTTTTATCTCACGTCGTATACGCTATTAGCTTCTCTATACCTATACTATCTCTATGATAAAACCAAACGATTCAGTTTGAAATCAAGACACTTTTGAAAGTTTTCAAATATCAAAAATGACATTTGGTTTAACTTCATTCATTATTGATCAGTGTTGTCAGTTAAACAAAAATACCCACAAATAAACACGTTTTTTTCTAGGGAGGAAGTTGTTCATTGCACTGGCAACAAATTAACCAATGGTTATGTTTGACCATAGTTAAAGTGGACATCAAAAAATGAAATTACGTAATAACAATTGGTTACCCTCTTGACTATAGTTAAGATAACAAATAGTCAAATCGTATTTAACTACGGATCAAAAAACTGGCCCTTAGTAGTAGAACTGGATGGACGTGTCACTGCTCATTCTGGGACACGTATAAGTATTACCGCTTCTGTTAGCGGACTATGGTCAAGTAATTATGTAGCTGTAATAAAAAACAACAAAAAAGTAGGCGTATACCATTTCCCGTATGCTACCCGCTACATATAGACTATATTTTCTTCTCTCGAAAATCTTGAGTATTAATATACTTAAATATGAAATGAATTATTTTATAAAAAAACTAAGCTTCCTAAAAATAGAATGTGCACGCAATGAGGGTCACTGCCAAACTGCTAGCAATATGCATATAGAGTTTGATAATTAAACAGAAATATCATATGTATCAGAGGTTGTCAACAAAGCAATTCCATTTTATGTAACGATATACAAAATCAGTATTACTTTACATTAATTACCTGGAACTGAATAAAAGTCTGTGAATATGTATGTGCGTACAGTAAGAGTTAATTTGGTAAGCTACTATATATTTCGTTATACTAAAAAACCAAAATCAGTGTTAAAATATGTTCGATACTACTTTTTTTGAGGGGGAAATCATCAAATGACTTCTCTCGGGGGAGTGCGAGACTTTTACTGACTAAAAACCCTGTTCCTTGTCCTGTTCCAGGCCGAGGCCGCGGTACTTTATGGCGCTTGCCCTGCAAACCTGGATACCTACTTCTGCATATTTTATTTAGATTGGTAAGTGAAGTGAAGTAAAGTGGTAGTAATTATTAGCCAGGACTGCCAGTGCAAGCACAATTATGCACCCCGGTCCCAGCCCGAAGCAGGAAAAGGAACGTGGTGGTGTTGGAGTGGATTGACAGACTCTTACAGACTTGTGTCTATTACTTCACCTCGCTTTCTCCACCCAGGGTGGAATAAAAAAATGGATTATTTGGTTATTTTTATAAATGGCCATAATTATAAACCATAGTTTGCAACCTCTATCGTTATCGTAGAAGTAGATAAAATAACGCTTCTGCGTCGAGCGGCGCTTGCGCATTTCATTAACATTCAGCGCATGGTATTGATTTCTAATTACTTAAGAGACATTGGAACCTTTAGCAGAAGTATTAGCATGGCTTAGAAGCCGCTCGGCCTGAATACAAGGTCACTTCAACACAGTTTTCTAATCCAACTCCTTCAGACTTGTAATTAGAGTTCAAGGAAAGTAATTATAATCTACACCTATCAACATTAGTACCTGAAACAAACAACTCTGTTGCTGTCTAGTTGTACTTCCAATTTAAAAAATATGTTCTACAAAACAAAATCTTGTAGATATTATTGGACATAGTTTTTATGAGGGATAATCCAATCACAGAGAGAGGCCATAAACAACGATAATAACAAGTAATACGAAATAAAACCTAATCATTGTAATAATTTTTCACCATATTTCAGAAAAAACTAAATTGTAACGCGCAGCCCACATTGTAAGCATGTTACGTGATTGCGTCACACTAATTAGCGGCATCAAATTCCTGACTACATTACTCCGCAATCAATGCTATCGCAAGGACTTTACTAAACAATTTTGTTTGTGAAATAACAATAATTTTACAAACTTGTATTTGGACAAAGACATTGTCCAAATACGCTCAGGATTGGTAATTTTCAATTTTTTTCTTTTTTTCCTTTTTGCCTAAACTGCAATTATTTTAGAGTAAATCAAAAGAATTGTTACGAAAACTGACTCTAGTCTATACTTAATATAATAAAGAGGTGAAATTTGTAAGTTTGTATGTAGGGGGTAATCTTTGGAACCGCTGCCTGGTCGGATTGCCAAAATTTTTCACTGATAGATAGGTTCCTGAGTGCTATAAAACATCACGCTACGATCAAATGGAGCCGAGCAGCGGGTGAAACCGCGCGAGATTAGCTGGTCTATCTAATGTTTCCACTAAAACTCACCTTGATCTTTTCCCTCCTCCATATACTGGAAATCCTTGAGCGTATGTATTGCAAAGATGTTCTCTTTGCACTGCATCGCTACCTTTTCACTACCGGTCCTGATGAGGTACTCCATGAGGACCAGGGCCTTGTAGACGTGCCGCCAGTTCTTGCCGTGGTCGTTGAGTCGCTTCCAGATCATCTGCATGATCTCTGTGAATGCCATCACGTTGTACGTGAGGTCGGCGATCTCCGCCATCAGCGTACTTGAAGGGCCCCATGGGTCGTTTGATGTAGCCTCGCGCACTTTTACCTGGAATGTATAGAGGAACTTGTGAAAAAATATTCTTATTCTGTATGTATACACGACGACGTCTGGCAATGTCTAATAGCAAACTTAGGCTCATTTCCACCGGCCAGGGTCGCCGGACAAGCGCAATAAAGCACTGCGGCCTCGGTCTAGACCAGGAGAAGGAACCCTGGGATTGGCCAAAGTCATTTGATAATTTTTCCCTCACAAAAATAGACTCATTTCCACAGGGTCCACAATGGTCTGAAACCTTATAATTAATATTGACTATTGAGTACTCATGTTACTGTGTGAAATTTGCAGGTTGTGCAGTGGACTCGGGAACTACAGAACAACAAACGAACAGTCTACGATTGTCATTCATTAGTATATAGTAAATAATGTTATTTCTGAAGGTATCCTTGACCAGATTTCTTACAGTCACACTGGCAATAGTCACATTATTTCAATAACTGCATTTGATTACTATATGTTTGTTTATATATGAACACATAAATGTGTATGTACTGTACCTGGGCATCGGAATAGTTGTGCGCGAGGTTTTTAATATTTCTTCTAAGGCCGGCCACGTTGACTTGCATTTCGTCCCGACCGCGGGGCATCTGAAATATACACATTCATTCATAAATAATATCACATATATATATATATATATAGAACAGTTTAAATACTACAAAAAATTTGCAAATAAAAAATATGATGTCATAATGGGCCTAACATGAACGCACACACATCTTTCATTCTTGGATGATTATATGCTAAATTAATGTTATAGCTATGTTTGAGTGTTATAATGCACATATTAATATAATGCACTGTATTTGTAATTGCTTTTCATACGACTTATAAAATGAAAAAGTCAAGAAATGATCAGAAGTTCATAATTGTTTTTATAGGAGTACCAGTGTTAAGAAATAATACATAATTATAATTAAGTCCTATCTCAACATAAGTCGTATATTTTTAAATTGAGGACTTTATAACAAAGAGTTTGGTTATCTAATGATAAAACTGAAAGTGTTATTTATCCTGTTGAGTATTTACGATAAAGTATTGTACTTATTTAGTAAACAATAAACATGGCTATATCAAACCTAAGTACTGTTATCTCGAGTAATCATCAACATTGTTTATTCGAAAGTATTTTTTTAATTTTGTATTTGCAAATGACTCTTGTATGATCAAGCCTGACTTTCTTTGTGGTGTGGGCAATACTTAATTTTCTGTTGTAATTGTTGGGGATAATTTATGAACTTCGAAACGTCAGTCAAATCCAAACAGTCTCATTTCTATTAGACGGAATTTTATAAAAACGAAATATTGTATATGTTTAAATGTCAATTTTTAATATTGTTGTGTATAATGCAAGCAGAGGTACAGCTATGACAAAGATGACAATCAAAGAATTATTTACGAAAATGCTGCACTTTGGTTTGCACTCGACTCACTTTGGTTGTAACTTCTTATGATATTAAGTTCATGTTTGGATATAGAATTACATTTTGATTGGGAATATAAATATAAATCGTTGCAAACACCCTGGACAAGGCCATGTTTGGTTCATGGTACAGTCCTTTCTTGCGTTAACAAAGTTAACATTCTGAGGAAAATTCTTTTTATTTTTTATTTTCCTCATTATAATAAGTATTTAAATTTTATGTAAAAATGGACCGAAAAGTAAGTTATTATTGGTAATAGCTGAGTACTTACTACCTTTCGAATAGGGCTATGTATTATTGATTGATTTTCTGTAATTAGCAAATGCTAAGTGATTTTACTAAATTAGCAATGTGTAGCCATTGAGATTTGGTCACATCGCTGTGACCAACAAACAGTCACGAAGTGCATCACAACCACGGTGCGTATCAGAAACTTGAGGATAGAGAGGGTCCTAAATTTTTACCCGCATATAAGTATCGGCGACAACACAAGTACTGAACATAGTGAGTAAAATTAAGAACACTAGAGGTCATATAGTACCGTGAATCATCATCATCATCATCAGCCTATTTGTTACTGCTGAGCAATGGCCTCTTCTCACACGGAGAAGGTTTGAACATTAATCACCACGCTTGCCTAATGCGGGTTGGCGATTCCAAACTTATAATTAGTAATTATAAGTCCAGGTTTCCTCACGATCTTTACCTTCACCGTATGCCAGTGGTGTCTAAGTAATCATAGAAAGTATTGTATAACTCGGAAAAATTCACATTAGTACTTGCTAGGTTTCGAACCCACACCCTCATGCATTGAAAGCTGGCACCATAACCTCGGGGCTACCACGATCTCGTACCGTGGATACCATAATGACAGCAGGAAAACTATACATCATCTGTTGATTTCCCGGAAACCTCTATTGTGTTATTTCTTAGCAATACTAATAATTCTAATTTCTACTCAGTATGGGGGAAGTTCACTCTTTCAAAGGTCAAGGTCAAATCTCTATTTAGGGTCGTCAGTTTGTTATAGATTCGTTGAATAAATTATCGAGCCCATCATTGATGTTATGAAGGCATAAAGCCTTTTTATGGCAGATGATACTTATGACCTCTTATGTTCTATGGTTTATGACCTATAAAATATTGCAAATTGCAAACTGAAATGTGTATTTGCTATACAATGGCCACAAATATTACTGGCTTTATTAGTAAAGATAAAACTTGCAGAGAGATTAATGGGTAGGTTGAAAATTCTTAACATCTTTTTTTTTAAACTAATCTATACTAATATTATAAAATGGTAAAATTTGTAAGTTTGTGTGAAGGGGGTAACTTTTGGAAACGCTGGTCGAATTTCCAAAATTCTTTCACAGATGTAGATGACTGTAATATTTCTGAGTGCTCGCAAAGCAGCGGGTAAAACTGCGTGGCAGTAGCTAGTAACACATAAATTATTGAGGCAATGCGACCAAAGCCGCGGGCAAAAAGTCACAACTTTAATAGCAGTCATCCAGTTACCATTGAATATATGTTGAAACGCTAATTCACCTTCAATCACAGTAAGGGCATGGCGTACACATGTAAGTATTCAGTTGGTGTGAGGACAGTGACACTCGGCCCTCTCTAATTGACTTCAAACTATTTACAGTCGCGCACTAATTGGATGCCGGCCGGCACGACACTAGCTGTGTCGCCGTGGCTACATCACTATGGTGGCTACTCACTGTGTCATGTATCACGACCGCACCGAGATGCTATTGATAGTACTCATGATTGTGCTAATGGATATTGATATTAAACAGCTACATGTTCTACGGCATATATGGGTACTGCGGGTCTTCGAACGTCCTGTATAAGTCGTTTGAATATTACTTTTGAATGCATTTCATAAATGTAGGTAAATGAGTAATATCTAGAACGTTTTGATTTGATTCTTTCTAATCTATACTAATGTTAGAAAGAGGTAAAATTTGTAAGTTTGTATGTAGGGGGTAATCTTTGGAACCGCTGGTCGGGTTTCGGAGTGCTATGGGCTACGAAACATCACGCTACGATTAAATGGAACCGAGCAGCGGGTGAAACTGCGCGAGAGTAGCTAGTATCAAAGAAATCAACAAATTTAACAGTTGTTTCCTTAGTCTGCTCTGACTTAGTGACTGCTACTTGAAGCTCTTTATAGAATTCCTTAAGAAGCCACAAAACTTGGCAGGCAATGTGGTCCTTGTTCCCGAATCCATTGTTCCTGGGCGTCAAAGGACCAGATTCTTTATTCCGCACAATGGCTGTTATTTCGGACGGTGAACATGGTAAACATGTGACGCTTTGGTACATACAATATATTTTTATCTGCGGCGATTGACCCGACGCACAAAGACATTTTGGTTAATGTTTGCTGCAACATTTGTTTGAATTACCGATTAAGATATGTATGAAGATTTTGTGATTAATTACAGCGAGGTAAAAACTATATTTGAAACCTATTTTTAATTGTATAGCGGTGCACATAAAAACTTTGAAGTTTCAAGTCGTGCATGAAATTAATGTGGTACTTAAAGAATGACCATTTCTGCGTTTTTAGCCATAATTGGACTTAGACCTACTATTGACTAATTTGAAGGTCATTTATTGGTATCGACTGTCCATGGCAGGTTGCGTACAGACATGTTAACCTACATTATCACCTTGTTAAATGTACATAGCTATGATTTTTAGTGATTTCTCGTCAATGTCAGTGATGTGGCCATGCACGGTACACTCCGAGCTACAAGCGATAATGAGTGACTAAGTGTGATAAATGATAACGTAGGTACTGATTACATTTCGTTATTTTTTTTGTATTCAGATTATATATTTTGGTAATGAGAAATACAGGTTTATCTAATCTATTGCGATTCCTTCGCAATTTTTATAGATACGAAAGACCCAGACACATACACGCGTAGAGGTATTCGATTCGTTATCACCAGTAGGTACTATTACCTGTCTTCGTTTTCGGAAGCGTTCCCTTCCAGTGTAAGTCAAAAGTACTAACCTTATTTTAGTAAAAGAGTTGTTTTTACGAAACCCTGTTATACATGTGGTAAATCAATGGCGGCTTATCTGAAGATATCGCAGTGACTCAGCCGTATTGTACATATTATGTTATATTAGTCATACGAGTTCTGATAACTCGGGTTTCACAGGTAGATTTACTGTTAAAACATTCAACATGATATTAGAGAAAGAGTTTAGGGTTCTGGTTAACCAGTAACATGTAACAATAAGGTAAAGCCTTACCAAATTCTTTATGTAAAACAGACCTTGAAATGAGCGCGAACAGCGACGTGACGTACAAACAGGATTACGTGGAACGTGATTAATTTACACCGAACTGACTTTTCGTGAAAACATTGGCACTTGGAAAATGTTTCTTAATAATGTTTTAGACCATCTGGGATCTATATGTATATTAATAAATAGGTAGTTTGTTATCTTGGCGTTTCAAAAGTACCTATTTATGGTTTAGTTGGAATAAACGATTTTGACTTTGACTTTGTAGATTTGTGCTCGTTCTTCTCTAAGATTCCATAGACCGAGAAGCCTATACAGCTTCACTCGACTGCCATCGGTCCATATGATTCACCCAAAAACAATGCTCAGATTTTGGTAGTGTTATAATCGTTTGTGCATGTGTTACCCTGGGGTCACAGAGATGTGTTGTTTGGATAGCCACGCAACAAATATGTGGCGAAGTCGAAATGAGGCGTATCCGGTCCAACAGTGAGTTCTGGTTACTGGGTAAAAATGAATGACGGTATGTACTCCTCCCAAAGGTTCACAAACTGTTAAAACTTAGCAATCACAATAAAACAAATAATGTCTTCACAAATAAATGAACCAAGCGAAATAATACTATCAACTGATTGATTTATAACTAAAACTAATCTACAATAACTTACGTTGATGTGCAATAATGTTGGATTTTGTTTAAATTTTACACAAAAACAGCCAAGTTTTGGTGGTTAGTCGCCTCGTCTGTCGACAATAAATACATAAAGATACACATACGGACAGAATATGTTAGTGCATGCATATCAGAGCTAGACTTACTACTATAAACATCAGAACTGTTGCATTTTGACAGTCGATTGGCAGACATGTTTGTCTATTAACAATTTGCGTAT